GCCTGCCATATCATGAACTGTTTTACTCTACTGTGCCGCTGTACCATGCCACCCTGCCTTGTAGCCAGTTGACTATGAACTAAAGTCTTTACAAACTTTAAGCCATAATAAAACTTTTCTCCTTTAACTTGTAAGTGTTGAATATTTTGTCCCATCCACAAGAGAGTAATTAAGACCTATGGTATGTGAAAATTATCTGAAGTGAATAACCTGTTTTGTCACTAAAAACATATGAGCATAATTTCTTTTCTCTCTCTCTCTCTCTCTCTCTCTCTCTCTCTCTCTCTCTCTCTCTCTTTCTTTCTTTTTTTTTGGTGGAAGAGGGGATTGAACTCAGGCCCTTGCACTTGCCAGGGAAGCACTTATTCCACTGAGCCATCTCTCCGGCCCTAGCGTAATTTCTTAATAACTACATTCAAATACATTTAATGAGCCTGACTTCGTGAAAGTAAGTTCTTACCAGGAAGATGGTGAACTTTCTATTCCAAATGATAATACATTTGAGACTAGACTCAGGGATGTCTACATAATATTTTTATTACCTAACAGCTTCTCTTTCTCAAATACCAAAAAGTCTATGAACTTATAAAAAATATTAATCCATCAGGATTTCTTATGATAAAAATAAGAATTAGGAGAATTTCCTTACTTTTACTATTTGATGTTGGATCATTATTGAAGAATTAATTCTTTCATTTTGGACAACATAGATGAATGTGGAGGACAATATGTTAAATGAAATAATCCAGGTGAAGAACAGATATAAGACCTTCTCACTCATATGAATAATCTAAAAAACATTGACAAAGACTAATAATAAAGAAGAGGTAGAGTGCAGGGGGCAGACTGGAAAGCTATTCAAATAATTTCAATTATAAAAGAAGAATCAACCTAAGAGATCTATTATACAGTGTGGTTAACCATATTTAGTAACAATAAATTGTACACTTAAAATTGCCTGGAGTAATTTTTTACATTTTATTAATATATCAATTATAAACATAGAGTACAATGTGATAAGGCAATATATGTACACAATGTATGATGATAAAACCAGGGCAATGATTGTTTCCACCTTCTTCAACATTTAATCATTTCTTTCCGTTGAGATTTTTTCAAACTTAAGACAATTTTTTTTTCACAGAACCGGGGATTGAACTCAGGCCCTTGAGCTTGCCAGGGAAGTGCTTATTCTACTGAGCCATCTCCCCGACCCCTTCAGACAGATTTTAAGCAGTCTTATTTCTGACCCCCAAGATAAGTTTGATTTAGCCACTACACAATATATATATATATATATATGAATCATTTTGTTAACAGTTTTTATTTACCAATTTGAGAAAAAATTCTAATGGTCAGTCTTTGCAGTTTAACTCCAGTAAACATTGTTAATCTAGTATAGTGAGTACTGTATATTATTAATATTGCTGGTTGAAAAATTGGAAAAAAGTCACATTTATAATTAAATGCTTTTTCTGTTATTTTATAGGGTGCATTGCAATCATGTTTATTTAATATTCACTCTCAAATCCTAAATCAAATGCTTTCCTTGGCATTTTTTATGTATGCTTACAATAAATGATGCTTCAAATTGTTGTAAGCCACATACTGTGAATAAAAGCACTGGATGTTCTGAAAACTGAATTTATGAGTGCTATTTCACCATCTCCTTCAGAGAATCTGTTCATGACAACACAGCTTTGTCACCAAACTTCTTCTATGTAGTCAGTAAACCACAAGATGGTGCCACTAAGCAATTAGTTTATCTCAAGATGGCTCGTAGGTTCTCTAGATAGCTGTTCAAGAATATTACCCTTCTTCAAAACCAATGTTAAACAGTAAAGTAAAAAAGAGACTAGCAGAGAAGCAAAAAAGAGTAAGGTGAAGTGGGAAAAGTAGGGAAAGTAACAGTAATATCATATATCCCTGCTGTGATGCAATAAAAGGGGCATTCCATCTTTTTGGTATCTTTCCAAATCCACAACCACAGTCTAAAGACAAGAAAACATCAGCTGTAACCTAAATTGATGAACACCAGTAGTTTTTTTTTTAAATGTATTTAGTACAGGGTCTACAGGGTGTCACTACACAGGTCAGATTCACAGTGATAATCTTTTTTTAAGCCTCCCAAGCATTGGGATTACAGGCGGGTGCCACCACACCATCTGACAGCAGTACTCAAAGTGTCACAGTCATGAGACACAGGGGACTTAGGAATTGCAACGGATTGAAAATGCTAAGGGAAAATGACAGCTAGATGGAATTTGAGATGCTAGTTTGGGAACAGAATAAAAGGACATAGTAGACAAACTAGAGTAATCAGGATGAAGATTAACTATAATTAATAATTCTTATGTTTTACACTACATTTAGTATATTATATTTCTTAGTTTTGGCGATTGTATCTTAGCCATGTAATATACTGTGCTAACAACAGAAGAAGCCAACTGAAGGAAATACAGAAAGGTTTTGTACTATTTTCTAAATGAATTTTAGGTTTAAAATTGTTTCAAAATAGAAGTTTTAAAGATTCAACATACAAATAAAATTCTCTGAAATGCCTAACTAGCAGGAATAATTTATCATCATCTGTTATTTGTACCCTTCTTCTATAAAATCTTACATAATGGATTCATATTAACTCAATACATAGTGCCAAGACCTAGGGTTTTATTGTTCGGGAGCCACCATAGTATATTTTTGAACACTCACATTAGGATACATTGTCAATGTAATGTTATGCAATTCTCAAATGAGAATCAGTAAGAAATGATCAGGGTAGGAAGAAAATGAATTTTTCAATTCTATAGCCGTGAGTAGCACCTTTCAATGCTATTCAGTTACCTCACTTGTGTGTTGCAGTTATGACTCACGAATTTCTGACATTAAAATTTTATTTTACTGTCAATCATACCAGATACAATGTGGCTAGTATCTTTTGAAATGTGCCAAATGCTTTGTATTGCACACAATATTAGTTTGACTTGTAAGTAATCTTTTATAATCAAGAAAGGAAAATTGGGGCTGAGGAGATAGCTCAGTGATATAAGTACCTGCCTGGCAAACACAAGGTCCCAAGACTGATCACGGGTACTGCATGCCATGTGGGCCCCAAAAGCCCATGCACCATGCTGAGCTGGCCACCAAAACAGGGATTGGTGGCACACGCCTGTAATCCCAGCCCTGGGGAGGCTTGCACAGAAGGTTCACTACAGTCCAAACTGCATAGTGAGACCTCGTATCAAATACTACTACTACTACTACTACTACTACTACTACTACTACTACTCATAATAATAATAATATTAATATTGTAATTCCTTTAACAGATGAGAATCAATTGCCTATTGATTATATTTGATTATATTTGTACATGTAGTTATGGGAAGCATTTCTTAAGAAGTGATTGCATGAAATAATTAGAAAAGCAACACTTTCTAAATTGAGATAAGGACTGACAGATACTTTTATATAATTGCTCCAAGCAATGTAAATAAATTTAAAGTTTCCAGCATATTTAATAGTTTATATGGGACCAAGGAGATAGCTCAGTAGAATAAGCACTTGCTTGGCAAGTGCAAGGGCCTGAGTTCAATCCCTGGTTCCACCAAAAAAAAAAAAAAAAAAAAGTTTATATGAACACAGCTAAAGTTCAAGTCATGTCGTAATCCTATAAACTAATGTCATTGTGTCCAAACAAGCTGATCACATTAAGACAAGTGACATCAGTTATTAGCTGACCCAGTCCAGTATGACTTTACCTTAATTTGATTATATGTGCAAAGGACACACTCCTAAATAAAGTCACACTATCTGTGGTTCTAGATGAATGGAAATTTTGGGAGAACACTGATCAATTAAATGTAACCCAAGAATAAAATCCTCTTATAAGAGAAATATCAGATAAGTCATTTTGTTTGTTAAATTTATTCATAATGATGTTGACCTGATTTTTGGTAATATCACCACAACTTAAAATATGTTTTAAAAGCAGATACAAATTCCATTTTTACATATTCACTTTTTACAGCTGTAAACTGTAACTGGCATTTCCACTTAAGATGAGACTAAATTATGTTTTACATTTATTTATTTATTTATTTATTTATTTATTTAGTACAGGGTCTCACTACACAGTTCAGAGTCCTAGTGATACCAAAGATCAAACCCAGACCTTGTGCTTGCCAGGCAGACTCTCAGACTGCCAAGCTATTTCCTTAGCCCAAAACTAAATTCTTAGAACTCATCATGTTTTCAATATGAAAGAATCTTCCAAAGCTTTTTCCTTTCATAAAATGTTTGGTTCATTTGACTCAGGACTTGTCAAGCAGTTTATTATTATTATTATTAATTTATTTGATACAGGGCCTGGCTATGCTGGTTGGACTTATAGTGATCCCCCTGTGTCAGCCTCTTCAATTCTGGAATTACAGGCGTGCATCACAGTGCTCAGTTTTGGGGCTAGCACTGCATGCGGTACTAGGGATCAAACCCGGCTCCTTGTGCTTGCCAGGCAGGAGCTTAAGCCACCTAGCTATCTCCCCAGGCCCATGTCAAGCACTTTAGAGGCTGCTAAAATAATTATGACTCACCGTTACTAATGATCACAAAGAGAATGTATATGTGTTTAAGAAGGTTCTGTGGAAAGGTGTGTTTGCATAGTACCATAAGATCAGTTGAAAGTTATACAGTAGAACATTCCCTTTTGAGCCATCTTCAAGGAAAATGCCCATTTTTGTGTGTGGATACCAAACAAATCTAGCCTAAAGATCCTAAGTAAGCAATAACTTTAAATGGTAAGGTAAATCTAATACTTAAAGGAAACATAAAAAAACAAAAGTACTCCACAAGCTTGCTGAATTTTTTTTGAGTGAAATATTTGGAATTTCTTTTAAAAGTTGATAAGCATTATGTAACTTTTTCTTTTTTCACTTTCTTTGCTTCTTGATAGCTGGATTAAATAACTAACATCACATGTTTGTCACTGTCTGGTGTTTCAGGGACTCCATGAAAAGACTGGTACATTTACAGCTGTTAAAGTGATGAATGCTCGTAAGGTAATATTATATCTTGTCTGTGTTTCTTTTCTTTAAAGATTGTGTTTTTGTATAAGCAGTTCAATAAATATTGTGAATAATAATTTATTGAAAATTACTATTTTACGTAATTATTACGTTATTTGGATGTATTTTAGTTTTCTAATATTAATAAACATTGGTATATTGTACTTATTCTTTTATTGTATTTACACATTAAAATACTTTACTCATGCTATAAATTCCATATATTTTACTATTCTACAACGCTGGGGAAATACCTGTATTTCTTTCCATTGTAAGTTGGTTATCTGTTGTCAGGAGTAACAAACAACATATGTCTTGTACATTGCGTTAATCTAACTGTGTTCCATTAGATTCTCTTCCCCTCTCCAATAATCCTTTCTAAGGATGGAAGCTATTAATTCTCAATGACAGAAGTAAAGAACATGTCAGAGATGCACATTTTTCATGTATTTTCTGACAAATGACCAAGAGAAACAGTTTAATTGGCACTGTGCCTGCTAATATTCATAAAGTTTGTCACAATTTGTACGATATTTTCATAGAATTTATAAGTATTTATGTTTTAGAATAAGTAATATTTCTCAAAATAATATTAGCATGAACATAACATAAAACAAAAGACTTTTAGTTCATTATATCTTAAAGAGAAATAGCAGTCAAAAACTGAAAATTCATGAACAATTGTCGGTACTATAAATGGTTCTTTTCCAGTTTGTGCAGGAAAAGTATTACTGAAATGATTTAAAGAGTTGTGTGCTTTCTGTTTTTCCAAGAAGTGTCAAATTTTGTAAACCAGTGTGAGTTTCAAGGAATTTTGAGGTTTTGTGGATTCATTTTGTTCTCCAATCATACCATCAAATAATCAAATTTGTTCTCTTTTGAGTGAAATTATACAAAATACTTATTTCCTTGTTTCAGATTGAGAGAACTAGAACCACATTTCAGATACTCTATATTTCGAAATGTTTAAAAATCATGAATAACCAGTCAACTGTTGGTATTTGTGACCTGGTTTTGCAAGAAAAAATAGCACTTTATTATTATACAGAAATTTTGCTGTTAATATGGCTCTTACATATGTTACAAAAATTGAATACCTTGCTTATTGTCCAATAAGAAACTGCTTCTTAGATTAAAATTATTTGTAAAAAATGAAGTAAAGAATTATATTGCCTTGCTTGTCCACTTTGTGCAAATGGAGCAGCTCGTCCACTTTGTGCAAATGGAGCACAAAAGTATCTTAAGCACAAATCATTTCTAGTGTGTACTAGTGGATCTAAAAATATTTCATTCTTGATTTTACAGACCCCCTTACCTGAAATAGGAAGACGGGTGAGAGTCAATAAATACCAGCGGTCTGTTGGCTGGAGATACAGTGTGAGTGCTACTCTTCATTAACGACCACATAGCCTTTACTTTATTTTTTCAGTTTTAAACTCATTACATTGCATTATGCTATTTTTTCTAAGTCTATCTATAAAATACTCTTGCCTGGAAATGTTCATATTTTCTAACACATGCCATCATATTTAAATGTTAACACCTTTTCAAACAGCAGGGCTTAGAAGAAATAGTAAATTGAACAGGAAAATGTTGACTACAGGCGAAAAACTGAGTACATCTGTGGAGGATAGAGAGTGGCAACAAAAGAGTTGATGGGACCACGATCCTGTACTGAGTAGCTTTTCTCTCATTATGATTCAAACTAATATTAATATTATACAGGAACCAAATGATAGCCACTGTTTCTTTTTTACTGTATGTGAACTGGTAAACAGAATACCAATAGGCCACCCAGCCTCAAAGTCTTCACATCTAACAGCTGTACTCGACTACGTAAAGGAGTCAAGATCCTTTCTACTTGTAGTTTATTGAGTTCTCCTAATTTTATTTATTCACTGGCTGTAGAATAACATCAGGTGAAGACAATTCTCCTGTTCCAATAGATGTTGGTAAACTGTCAAAGTATTATATAGACTTAGCTGCAGAATTACTGTTCTTGTCAATATATTTCATTGACATATTTTCCTAATTATCTCCTGCAGTCAACTTTGCAGGATTAAAATATCTTCATTTTTCTGTATTTTAATAAATACACTCAGGAACATTAAAATAATATTTTGTTAGCACGATCACATTCAGAATCTAGTGATAGTAGAAAAGAATTGCTAAACAGCTTCATACTTTTGTCTGTTTTGAATCACACTTCTCATTGTCTCTAATGTACCTTAAGAAGACAAAGCATAACCAAAGGAAACATCTATTACAAGGTTTTATAGAACAAGAAACCGCAAAATATGAGGTGAAAAGGAATTATTTAATCACTTCTAATTTCATCAAGCACATATGTTAATAAAACTTAAATTTTTTCCCAAAATTTTGCTGGCATTCTTTCCATAATTCAAATGACCTGATTTTAGAACAGGAAAAATTACAAAGAAAATTCTGGCATCCTGCAGCTGCCTATTCTTGACAAAAATCATGGTTTTATGCTAGCCCAGAATCATTTGGCCCCGAGCCAAGAAATTCTGTAGCATTGTATTACTAGTAGATGTGTGAGTTTTAAATTACTCACTTGGCTTGATACATATAATGTACTTGTGTGATTTTCACCAGCTCAACTTCCTGTTAATTCAGAGTGGCACACACTAATGCCTTCCAAACATATCTGATCATCAATTTTTGTTTTGGGGGAAATTTGCATTTATATGAGAAACCTCCTTTTAGAAGATTTTTCTAGTTGGAGAGTTTGAGTTCTCTGCTTGTGTATTTAATAAGAAAAATCTGTGCTAGCTAATTAGCTATTTAATAACTCTAAATCGTCTCGAATCTCTTAGAATAAAGTCTGCAGTTTGCTCCTATTTTTTTAGATATCAGGGCTTTATGGAATTAGCAATAATGTGTAAGTACAGAAATCTCAGTTCAAATCCCTACTTCCTACTAAACAATTGAAAATCACTTGAAAAAGTGGTCCTTTTGCTTCTCTAGGACTCAGGTTCCTGAGAAGCATAGTGATAACCACAAATACAATATCGTACTTGCCTAGAATCCAGCTGTTATCCTCCTGTTCTTGCTTGGCAGCATGAGGTTTGTAAACCAGAAAAAAAATATTGGCATCAAAAAATCAACTAGGTTAAATGGCTCAGTTTTCCCCTTGTTCTCTTCTAGTGTTTTTTCATATTCTTAGCTTTACACTGGCATCTTTCCCTTTTATCATATTATTATGATTTCATATTCTCAGTATATCATTAAGATCTTAATATAGGCAGAGAGTACATAAAACATGACTTGTTCCTGTGGTTTTTGTCTACATAGTGCTAGATTAAGTGTCCTGCAAAGCAGAAACTGAAGCTACAAGATTAACTTTTAGTTTTTCCATTCTACAAAAAAGAATTTTAAAGGAGCTTAGTAACTGAGCTTCTTTGAGAGGCTTGGATGAAATTGGAGCATGGGTTGCCATGTAATAAATTCCCATAGAATAATTTATTCAATTATGCTTTTATTACACACTAATTAGAAAGCAGTAATCTTTTATTGGGGGGTTTCCATTTGAACAAATCAGTCTCTATCACCTTCCCTCAAAGCACAAATTGGTATGTAAATTTATAGTATTTGACTACTTATGGGTAAATCCACAGTAAAAGCCAGAGAAAATTCCAGAGTGTAATTACCAGCTATTTTTTGATATTTTACACTTTTAAAAATAAAACAGGTGAGACTGGGGGTGGTGGTACACGTCAGTAATCCCAGCTCTTGGGAGGCTGTAAACAGGCAGATCACTACAAGTCCAATCTAGTAGTGAGACCCTGAACACCCCATAGATCCTTCCCTAATATAAAAATAAATTAAATAAAATAAAACATAGTATAAATAATTGGTATTTAGGAAAAAATATACTTTACCAGCATAAAACAAATCAATGTGGAGATACCACAGAGCCTAGTGCACAGCTTTAGGTTTATGTCACAAGAATTTTTGAAGTCAAGCCACAATGTAGCCAAGTATGAGATATTTGTCCAATGTTTGCTGCTGAATCTCTGAGGCTCAGGCAAGAAAGAAGGTGATTGATAAAGGGTAGATAAATTGAGGTATTCAGTAGTTATATTCAGCTAAGAAACTTATTTCCTCAAGTTGCTAAGTCAGTGTAGTTAGTGAAAATTCTGGGGAGACCGAAAGATAATTGGAAATTAAATCTTTAATCACCTTTCTGGGCAAATGGCCTTTTGTAAGTTTACTATGCAGAAAAGTAATCTTTTAAACTGAGTTTCAGAACAGGATATTTTTGTATATTTACTTCAACCTTTTGTTTACACTCTACAAATACATTTCACTTCAGACTTTAGAGGATAACACTGTTCTTAAGTCTATATGAAGTGAACTTGTATAGCTACACTGAGAGATCTTTTAATAAAGTGTTGGTGAAGGTATGGAGAAAATGGAATCCATTTCACATATCATCACAGGGGATGTAAAGTTGTAAGGCACAGTGGAAAACAGTTTGGAATTTCATCAAAAAGTTAAGCACATAGTTACTCTTCGAATGAGCAATTTTGCTTCTTAGGTATATGTATAAGAAAATGAAATATACGCTCATATAAAACATGACATTAATGATCATAGAAGTATAGTTCACAACATCCAAAATGTGAAAATAATCCATATATTCATCAGTTGATGGATGGTAAATTAAAGAATGCAATAGTTCCATGAGGCAACATGAACTTTAAACATATCTACTAACAAAAGCCCATGTATTATATGTGGTCACATATAATCAGGATACATAAATTTACAAGAAGTAAAGATCTGTCAAATGTGTGTGTAGAATTTCTGGGTGCGTGATACATAAAAAGAAAGTTTCACTTTGGAGTAATATAAATCTTCTAAATTTGATTGTCATGATGAATGTACAACACTGTATATATGCTAAAATGCATTAAATTGTACACTTTACACATGTGAATTGTAGAGTATGTGTATACTATCTGAACAAAACAAAAAACCCAGACAATTTATCTTGGCCTTCTATAAGAAGCAAAAATTCTCTTATTCCTTTCAATCAAAATTTTACACAATGGTCAAGTGTGGTGATCCAGGGAACACATTTTAAGAACTGCTGAATTAAGAGAGCTTCAGTTTACTATTTCTGCCTCCCTCCTCTAAATACCAAAGATTGTCTAATTAACCAAAGATTGTCATTTGCTAAATATTCAAGATACTCTATTATAATTTACTGAAGTGTATAAAAGCTTCAAATAGCATTTTACTTTATGAATTTTATATAGCATGGAGATGGAGAGTCATTGAATTGCATGGCTTAGGTTGTTGTCTGTTCTTATTCCATAGGATGAAGAAGAGGATCTCAGGACTGAACTGAACTTTCTGAGGAAGTACTCTTTCCACAAAAACATTGTGTCTTTCTATGGTGCATTTTTCAAGCTGAGTCCCCCTGGATACAGGCACCAACTTTGGGTATGTTTTTAATTATCTTGCCCTTATTCAATAAAAAGGTCCTATCCAAAGATATACTTTCTTTTTTATGTATTTGGTTGTTGCAGTGTCTCACTATGCAGCTCAGACTCATGATGATTCTGCTTTCAACCTCTCCAGCACTGGGATTACAAGCATGTGCCACCATACCCGGACCCTGGCATGCTCAGCCCACTATGGGGGTGGGGCTGGCATGGCATGTTGTGCAGGGAATTGAACTGTGATCTCTCTGCGTGGTTAAGCTTGCTGAAGCAGGTGTTTTACTCTGCTGAGCTATCTTGCCGGTCCCCCAAAGATATATTTTCTTATGAGTTGCTATACCAATTTTGTACACCTACTGGAAAACTTAGCACTCAATTGGTTAATGTAGTAATGGAAATATGTGCTCTAATTCCTGGAGATGAGAATAAAGAAATAAGAAAAAATAACATATATCTAGCAAGTAACTTATATGTGGGATGGGGGAGGACTCAAATGAATAATGGAAATATGTATCATAAAAATTTTCAGTCAAATTTAGAAGATTTCTATCACTCCAAAATGAAACTTTCCTTTTATGTATCACCCACCAAGAAGTTCTGCACACACATCTCACAGATCTTAGCTTCTTGTAAATTTATGTATTCTGGTTATATTGTCTGTGACCACATATAATACATGACCTTTTGTTACTAGATATGTTTAAAGTTCATGTTCTATCATGGATCTATTGCATTCTTTTTTCCATAATTTTATTGAGAAACAAATAGCAATGAGACACTTTCAAATCAAATTGGTAGGACAGTTTCAATAATTAACACATTGCATACTCTCTTCCTAGTGGTTATTTACTGTACAAGATGCAGACATGATATCCTATTTATAAACTCTATTAGAACAAATTCCAGTATTCATTAAGAGAATGTAACCATATATCTATCCTATTTTGAATACACAGATACATAATGGACATTCATCTGTACTGAATAGTGAAACTAGTCAAGTAGTCCTGATACCAAAATGAAAAAACAAAAGAAAAAGAGTTTCTAAGAGTTATGTTTTACCTAAGTGCATAAACTTTGAAATTGCTTACAATGTACCTATGCACCCATGTTGAATTCTACATAAGAATTGTTCCTTATGTAGTCTTTATTTGCTAAGTCATCAGGAAGCCTCCATACCAGTAAAACAATGACTACTTTCAGTTAAAAGTGGCCAAGCTATATTTGAAAATTTTGACTACTTTGGTATCAACAACTACTTTGAAAATGACAATTTACAATGTACTGAACATTGTTGTTCTCCTACAGTCTTGTTTTGAAATCTTATACCATTGTTTTTATTGTTTACTTTTCTTTTCTTTGAAATAAAAAAGGATAAGGGCTGGCCAGATAGCTCAGTGGACTAAAGTGCCTGCTTAGACAGAGTGCAGTGGCTGGGGTTCAGTCCTTGGCATGCCCAGCCAGCCCAGCCCCCAGGGCACACTGAGACAGGGGTAGAGACTGGACATGGTGGTACGTGCCTGTAATCCCAGCACATGGGAGGCTGAAAACAGGAGAATTGCTACAAGTCTGGTCTATGTAAAAAGACCCTGTAGATCCTGTATTAAATACATAATAAATAAATAAATATTTACCATTTATAAATTTCATGCACAAAGTACTATTCTTACAAAGCTAAGAAGATCATTGTGAATGCGTTCTGTTCCTTTCATTATTGAACACTTCTTATTTAGATAATATTAGCAAGATCTTTCAGAGTCCATCTTAATTGAATGGCATTAATTCAGATGAATCATAGTTTAAAATGAGCTTCTTTGCTTCTATTATCACATTGTTAATCTGTACTGTTGATTTCATTTGGCTGTGTTTCTTCTTCCTTTGCTGGCCATGTACACAGGCCAAAGACATGCAGTAGTGTCAGTGGTGAACAGTTAAAAATTAGGGAAGTAGCTTTTTGAAAGAAAACATTGATATTTCAAAAGGAAATAATATTGACTTTCTGAATATTCACAATTTTGAGTTTATCTTTTTTATTTCATTCATCTATAGTGACAATTATCTGTGGATAAAAAGATGTACTTTGTTCGTTTGATAAACTGATTTTAACATGAGTAGTTGTGCATAAATGTGTACTTCAAGTTTGGTAGGTTGATTATAATTGTTATATTCTCCTGTATATAACAATCCTGGTCTGTCCTCTCTGCTTAGCTACTATTATTATTTTTAAGGAATTTTACAGTTTGCACACTCAGTTCATTGGTGGCAAAAATAAGTTTCCTGAGCTATTGAATTCATTAACAGTAAAATCAGAATGAAATGCTGTCAAAGAGGTTAGCATTAAAATAAACTTCCTTAGCATAAATCCTATTTGAAGCAAGCTGTCCCAAAGGAAATCAATTGACAGTTTCCTCTTGGGTTTACTGTTTATCAGAACTTGGGAGAAAATCTTAATTGTTTGAAAATAAAAATAAAAATCATACCTAGAGTCAATATTCATATGAACTGTTTTTAGACCCTACATGTACTTTTTCAGTTTAAATCAATCTGTTCCTTCAACTAGCCCTTTATTTTCACACAGGCATCACTGAGTAGCAGTTTCTTTTTGAGGGCATTTGTTTATTCTGTTTTTCATAAACTGAATGTTCTTTCTAATCATATCTAAACGCTATCTATAATTCAAGGTTTGGTTCAAATCTTTCCTCCTAGTTACATCTCTCTTTTATGTTACCTGACTTTCCTGCTCCACAAATTCTGTTTGCGCTAGTCTTTGGTGTCCTCTAAGACATGTGCGTCAGGCTTTGCATTGCTATAAATCTAAACTTTACAGAATAATAGAAATCATGTAGACTAAAATTCTCTAGATATTTTTAGGACATAATTTTCTGGTTCTCTATATTTTTATGGCTTCTCTGCAGATGGTGATGGAGTTATGTGCAGCAGGCTCAGTCACTGATGTGGTGAGAATGACTAGAAATCAGAGTTTAAAAGAAAACTGGATTGCTTATATCTGCCGGGAAATCCTTCAGGTGAGTTTTCATGTAATCATTCTCTGATGTTGAAAGAACCTAGGAGGAATGAATACACTGTAGTCCATATCCTTATATCATGGTTTAAGAATTTTAATGTCAGTGCACACCTGTTGTCCCAGCTACTTAAGAGGCTGAGGACTGTGAATTCAAATTCAGTCCGAGTGATTTAACAGAACTATTGCTTCAAAAATAAGAAAAAGAACTGGGGAAGTACTCGGTTTGAATGACCTGGTTTAATCCCCAGTGCCTCGTAAAAGACAGACAGACAGACAGAAAGGGAGAGAAAAAAGAATTCTAAACATAACCTTTGGATTAGATAGAATTTTAAAAACGCCAAAAATTTCATCAAAATCAAATATTGATATGATAGCCTTCAATTTTGTGTTGGACCACACCATGTGTGTAATTCTTTCCTGTTTTCTAGGTTTTTATTCCTTTTTCGGGGTATTGGGAATTGAACAACAAGCTTCATATGTGCGAGGCGAGCACTCTACTATTGTGGCTAGAGTTCATTTTTTAAAAAGCATAGCACTGTCATAATAAATTAAGACAAAGGCCTGTAAGGAGAACTCAGTGTCTTATAGAAGGGTCTAAACTGCTATCTACAGGGCTGGGGAGATGGCTCAATGGAATAAGTGCTTCCCTGGCAAGTACAGGGGCCTGAGTTCAATTCCCGGTTCTGATAAATAAATAAATCAATAAATCAATAAATAAATAAATAAATAAAATAAACTTCTATCTGCAGCATCATTTTTTTTAGACAGATACCCTCCTTGAATGGAATTTCTTATACCCAATTGCATGAAAGTAGCAATCTTCTTGCCCTCCTGAACTCAGTTAATTTTTGGTGGCTTAAATGCTTAAAGTCACCCAAGGATGTTATTAACATAAATGAGTAGCACTGTTCAATATTGTTAGAATATCTTCCCTTTAACTTGATTAGACTCATTTGTCATAATACTGTTAATGTCTTGTGTGCACTCTACACTGAGTTTAAATTTTATTTCACCATGTATTAACCATGTGGCCTTGAGTCAGCTACTTAATTTATCCAGACTCACTTTTCTCATGTGTATGTAAGATAATACTTACTAATACCGTCCTCAGAGGGGTACTGTGAAGATTTCATAATTTACTCCATGCAAAGAATTTAGCAAAATATCTTGCAAAGAATAGTGGTTCAGCAAACTTTTGTTGCTCTTATTATTCTGTTATCCATGCCCAGTTGATGTCTAGAGCAAACTAGCCATTAATGTCTGGAGCCAACTAGACATTAATGTCTAGAGCATTATACTACATACTATGTTACAGTTTTGCCAGGTCATGGGTTAGCTCTAGTGGTGAATGGACTGGGGCCAGAAGAGTATGCCAAGACAAATTATAAATGTTTTTAAATGAATTTCCATATTCCCTCAAATGCTCAGCCTACAAGGCTGACTGAAAATATTTTTGACTACACAAATACTTGGATGAGGAATAGAGAAAAACTATGTCTGAGCTATGAAATGGTCAAGACGTGCAATTCTTTGCTTTTATGTTTAGTTGGAATTATGAAGGTTAAAAAGGAAGGTAAAGTGGCCCAATGTATACACACATTACTTTCTGGGGTTTTGTTCTTTCATGGGTATCTTGGTTTATTTTCCTTTCCTTATGGCCAAAAGGAAAATTTCAGGGAAATTGTAATAATTCCAGCCTAAAGAAAGAATTTTGTCTGAAAAGTCAAATAGAGCCATTTCTTACGAATTGTTTTACAAAAAATACCAAGAGTGGTACCAGAAAAGAAAAAAATGTATACTGATGTGCCTTTTTTGTTTTAATGTTTATGCATATATATACAGGGTTTAGCTCACCTTCATGCACACCGAGTAATTCATCGGGATATCAAAGGTCAGAATGTGCTACTGACTCGTAATGCTGAAGTAAAACTGGGTAAGTTTATTTTTGTAGTATGATAGGTTCAACCCAAAATATTTTAATGGAGAAAACTACACGAATAAAACTGCTTTCTTTCATGTTCTTTCCAATATCCTGTACTTGTTTGAGCTGAGTTTAAAAATTTAAAATTCATTTGAGAAGGGAGTTAGAGCAAAAAGGACATGGCTAACTAGTTCTTTTAAAATTATGTAGGTGAAAAACATTGTTTTTTAACTTTTATTAGTACATGTTTGCAGTACATGATTACATTCACTGTAGGGATTGGTACATATACATAGCCCATTTAAATTCTCTCCCCTCAAGACCCCTCTTTTATTTTTCCATAATCAAATGCATTTATTTATCTTATAAGACATTTTAAAGTTAATTATCAGACTAAAGCTAGAGGATTAGGCCAGAGAACATAAGAAATGTCTAATTGGAAGGATTACTTTTTGCTCATTGCTTTACCCTCTACTGTAAATAGCTATTGTATTTATTTCAGTAAGTGAATTGAGTATTTACTATGTACAAACTGATATGTCATGGACAGGGATGGGAAAAATTTCTTTCCACATCCACATCTATTTTTTCCAAGAATATTAAAGACTGTTAAATTACTTGAAAACAAAAATTCTTCTTTGGAGTTACTTCTCAAATATTTAAGGCAATGATATCAATCAGAAATTATGCTTTAATGACAGCTAAATCAAATTTAGCAATAAAAATAAAAAAACAAAATCTATAGATTTATATTCCAAGGGGCAGAGTGGTATAATTTATTAACCCCCCCACACACACACGTACACGCACATGCACATGCACATTTTCTGTCAGTTAAACAGGGAATAATATGTTACAATTTTTGATATGTATATATCTATACATATCGATACATACATGTATATTCCAATAATAATATATTCTTAATAATACCATAAATTGTATATTCTTAATAATACCTTAAAATTATATCAGTACTCTATAATAACAAAACTTCATTGATATGAACATACATCATCTAATCATCTGTATTTATTACATTATTTTTAACATTGCTTTTAGCATAAATCAAGATATTTCTCCATTTTTTGCTAAACTAGTAGAAGTACAGTGGAAATTTTGATCACTAAAACATTATTTGTTGACGCCATACTAACTTTTCTTGAAATAAATGACTTTCAAGAAAATATACTATTTTTTATGTCTAAAAGCTACAAATCTGACAACACAATTTTATGAAAACATGAGAGGCATGTATATTTCTGCCTCAAATGTGCTGATTAGGTAATCCACATGAAGCCTAAACAGCATGTATAAATTGCAACACTATGCTTGGATCAATTTGCTGGCCACTCAACCATTTGCGACACAGAACAGGACTTAGAAATAAGTAAAAAGCCAGTAAAATATCTGTCATAAAGTCCTTGAATCAAAGTTCATGTATTTTACACTGAAGGAGATCTTTTATTGATGCATTAGAATTCAATCAAGTTTATTTTACATATAACCTTTTTACAGTACATTTAGATTTCTCAGATCTTAGCTTTATTTTTTTTCTTTCAGTGCTGGAGATTAATCATAAGATCTTGTACATGCTAGACAAGTATTGTACCAATGAGCTGCAGTCCACCCCGATCATAGGGTATTCTTAAAGTACATAATAAATTGTAGAAGGGGAAACTAATGATAGCCAAAGAAAATGACAGTGAGAAAAAAGACCAGAAAAATTTTACATTGCAGTTATTATTGATCAATAGTATTCATATTCCATTCTCAAAAGGTTATTAAAGGTTAAATTCAGCCATTAGTAAAGTTTCAACTCTACTTATCTTAATTTCAGCTTTTGTTTTTCTTTAATTCTTCTCCCTTTTTTCTGTTCATCACTGTTTCTCCTTGTATTTTTGCCACATATCAGCTTCTGGGCCTGATAGATATTACTCGGTCCTTAAAATTCACCATTAGGGTTACTGGGAATGCTAATTTAAGCTATTTGTGAAGAAAGAAAGAAAAAAATAAAAGGAAGATTGATTTTAAATAATGAGAATATGCAAAAACCAGTAATGATCCTCACAATACTGTATGATACTTTGATTTTTGTTGGTATTGGAACCTTTATTAAAGGCTGCGTTAAACTACTAAGGTTTTTTTCTTTTTCTTTTAAATTTTCAGACTGCTTTTCAGTCAGTTTTGTACATTGGGCCAGGGAGATGACTCAGCAGAATAAGCACTTCCCTTGCAGGCCCAAGGGCCTGAGTTCAATCCCCAGTTCCGCAAAAAAAAAAAAAATAAATAAATAAATATAAATAAAAAAAAAATTACATCATCCTCTGAGTTCCTGAAAGCCATTTTCTTTTTTTAAAAATTTATTTCGAAGAGTAAAATCAAAAACAGAAGCAAAAATAAATAGCAAAAACAAAGACAGAAGCAGAGTAATATATGACAATACATATGGTACAGAATTTCAAAACAAGAATAAAAAATTAAAAATGGTTGTTATACTATGTATTTTTATCATATAATTTTTTGCTAAGGTTAACAGATACAGATTTTTCCCAATTTTTGGATTTTCTTTTCAGTCTGTTGATGATTGTCTTTGATGAGCAGAAACTTCTCACTAATATGAGATCCCAGTTGTGGGTTTTTAGAAGTATTTTCCGTGAAGTTTGTGTTTTGTTTAAGAACTCTCTTCCTACCCCTATGCCTTCAAGATTTCCACCTACTTTCTCTTCCAGGAGATTTAGAGTTTCTGTTTTAATCTTTAGATCTTTAATCTATTTTTACTTATTTTAGTACTGGGTTTCGTTTTAGTTTTCAGCATGTTGGAGAGCCAGTTTTTCTAGATGTTTATTAAAGAGGCTATCTTTCTTCCAGTAAACATGTTTGGCCACTTTGTGAAAGATAAGGTGGCTGCGTATGTTTGTAATTGTATCTGCATCTTCTAATGTGTTTCACTGATCATCAGGTCTAGTTGGTTTGTTGTTGTTGTTGTTTTTGCCAATACCTTGCTGACTTTATCACAGTAACTTTTTAGTATGATTTCAAGTCAGAGATTGTAAGGCTTCCTGCCTTGCCTTTGTTGGCCAGCATTGCCTTTGCTTCTCTAGGTCTTTTCTGGTTCAAAGTAAATTTTCAGAATATTTTCTCTACATCTGTGAGGTTAATTGATGTTATTTTCATAGGGCTTGCTTTAAATCTGTATGGCCATTTTCACAATTTTGGTTCTTCCTTTCCCAGAGCAAGGAATATCTTTCCATTTTCTGTAATCCTCTTCCATCTCTTTTTTCAGAGTATTTTAATTTTAATTGTTTAGACCTATTACTTCCTTTATTAAATCAATTCCTAAGTATTTCATTTTTTGGATGCTATTGTGAAAAATCTACCGACTTTATCCCTTCCTTATTTTTTTCTGGAATAAATAACGTAAGTTTACTATAGCCCTGTTTTTGGTCTGTTTCTGAGGATACTATACTAACTATTTTCTTATGAAGTATCATACAGATTAGAAAACTAAATCATTGTACACGTAAGCTAAGGTATAGAGATCATGGTAAGTATTTGCATTTAATTCAAAAGATGAGCTAAAGAATTTAACTAAATTCTATCAGAGAGGTCATTTTTCTTTTTGAGTAGATAGTACTTCTGATTTCATGAGTGAGGTTTCCAAGTCAACTGCTGACAGTTTTCAGTTTCCTGAGATATTGCTTATAGTGCTGTCCTTTCTCCAGCTTAGTGACACTTTAAAAAGTTACGTAAGTTATCACTTCAGAGACACTCAGGTTATACCAGTGGAACTGTATTTTTAATATTCATAATATATATTCATTCAAATGTCCTACAGATAGATACAATGTGGTGTCTCAGTCCAACACAAACATCAGTAATTACTTGTTTCCCAGTATTCCTGCAGTAAAATTAATGATGAAGTTTTCTTGGCTGGAATGAAAAATTTATTATCCATCATGACTTTCTTTTGGTTGATTTTCCAAGTAAAAGCAATAACTTATTGAGCTTTTTGTTCCTGATTAATTGTTTTGACATATGCTAAAATTTGCAGTGGATTTTGGAGTGAGTGCCCAGGTGAGCAAAGCTACTGGAAGGAGAAACAGCTTCATTGGGACACCATACTGGATGGCACCAGAGGTGATTAACTGTGATGAGGACCCAAGAAACTCCTATGATTACAGAGTAAGTGTGAGGATCCAAATTTTGAAAGGATTTTTGACTAACATTTCTTTCTGTGGATTAAATAAAAGAATAAAAAACAAACAGAACTTCTTTTGATACTGATTCTATTTTTGGATGTGTTTTTATAGTATGCATAAGAATGATATTTTATAAGAATATAGACAAAGTAAACCATGAGGAATTATTTCAAAGTAGCATGTCCAGTTCACATTGCTTGTAACTTCTTGGTAAAAGCATTATATTATGCGGTTTTATATGGAAAATTAACTTCCAGAGTCTGCGGGTTTTATAAACTCAAAAATGAGTAAATGTAAAGCCAGTGATAAATTCCCATATTATCCCCTAAAAGAAAAAAAAAGTAATTTGATTATTATGGGTAATGGAGAAAATCCTTAGTGCATAGTTCATTTCTAAAGCCACAGGAAAATCATTGGAATAGATAAATTATGTAAAATGCATGCTATTTATTAAAATTTCCACTGAAGCTGCAATATGTGCCATATACATTTTTATATACATTAAAAAGAACTGGTGAGGAAATAAAGAAAACTCTACATTTTCTATAGATGGGAAAATCCTCACTCTCCACATCATAAGTTATCCAAACAGTTCACTGTGGTCTACTGTATGGAACTTATACTCAAAACTTGAAGTTGATTAATTTAGGTTTCATTTCTTTTCCATTTTCTTAAATGTCTTCTACTTGACCTGAAGAGCAATTATTTACTGAAAGCTTATTGCATGTTCACTGCTATACTAGGACCTGTTGAGGCTAGAGAAGCATACTGTTCTTCAAATGGCTTTCTGTATAAAGTTGTATTTTATTCCTGTGTGTATGTTGCTATCTTCCACAGACTTTCATTGGTATTAGTTACTCATTTTAATTTGGCTCCATGTACTCAAAAGAAAACTTAAGCTTAGACTTTAGCAAAACTGAAGAGATCTGAAAATGAGGCTTCCCAAAATTTATTTATTTTCTTTAGGAGTCATCCAAACAGAGGACCTCTAACACTATGCCCTTTCCATTCTCTGAAAAACAAAGTATATAGATGAAGATAATTCCATTATCTCCATAATTCTAGGATCTGTTTACATAATTCTAGGATCTATTTAATTGTCAAAAACTATTAAAATATTTGTGTTTATATTTATGTATAAATATATTAGCTAGAAATATTGCTTTTATAAGTAGCATAATGTAATTCATATATTACTTGACATATAAATTGCTATATGTATAATTGTATACTTAATACAGGAATATCATATAGTTTATATATCAAGTGGGTGTATGCCTCAGCAAAAATACACACCATTTCGGGGAAGTGGCTGCTATTTTACTCAGAATTTTTCATAATGTGAAACCAAAGTATAGAGAGTTAAATCATTCGCCCTAGATCATGCTGGTTGTGGTTCTATATATTAAAAATTCTCTATGGCAAATTTCCTTTGATATTTCAGGTAAGAAAGCAAGCAGCACATCTGAAGCCAACTTTCCTTATACTGAACTTCATTCCCTATAAACTCTTTATGTAGTGGGGTACTGCATGGTCATAAGTCAGACAATACCCTACAATATCAATATATAATGAATTTTTCTTGCAGAATAGAAATGAATGGGCTCTGGCATTTGTATCCTTGTTGCCATCAAAAGACTGTTTTGAGTCTCTTAGTAACACCCATCTCCCATTTCTAAGTGACCCATTTTTGGCTGTTTTTTCTTTTGCAGAGTGATGTGTGGTCTGTGGGAATTACTGCTATTGAAATGGCTGAAGGGGCTCCACGTGAGTAAAAATCTTCAGTATTTGTTAAAGATTAAGGAAGTGTGCATATAAATCTGACTTTTGGAAGAAAATCAAGTAATTGTTTTAAGCTGTCAGGTTTTACTGGCCACAGATGTGTCACACACTATGTGCAAAATTATAAATGATGATCTACCATGTTGGTGATGCTTTTGTTGTAATTGCCATATTTAAGCCAGACATATACCTATAATCCAAGAAGGAGGAGTTGTTTTGATGAGGATGACAACAACTTGGGCTACCTAAGTGAGAGTTTCTTTCCAAAAACCAAAAAGCAAATTGATAATTTGATATATAAAAATTTTGTACTTTTTCTTTTGATAGTTTATGTTAGGCAAAGTGTTATTTCAGTTTAGCCTCAGTAGTGCTATGACTTGCGACTCTTGAGCAACCAAAATCTAAAATATTTCACTTTACATGGAACCATGGAAAATTTAGGTTTCAGAAAATTTATAGTCATGCACTACTATTGCTTCTGGTTAAGATAGATGGGGGAAAAAACCTCCAGTGGTTCATTTAAATTGTGTAAGTCCTAAGCAATTTTGGATAGTAAGCATTGTTTGGTGTTGGTTTTTCTTTTGCAGTCAACCCAGCCCACTCCTAGTCCCTCCTTTCCTCTTTATTTTCTGTTGTATTTAGCACCTCTTTATCATTTAGATGACCAACCAACATCCTGTTCTCTTAAAGCACAGCTTTCTGGTAGAAAAGTTAAAATGAAATGGAAACATTTGTATAAATGATTGATATCCATTTAATGTATGACTGTATGTCATATTTGCTATTCTCAGTGTTTACATCCCAAGGTATAAATGGTAATGAATTACTGAAAAATTGTATGAGAAGTGAGAGAAATATCTTTAGGGATTATGTAGTGGGACTTACTTGTTTCCTCTTCTCCAAACATCCTGTAATCTCCATGTTCTCGTATGCTCTATCTTCATAACATCCACCTACCACTTTGCAAACTTGAACTATCTTAACATTGGATTGCAAGATCAATGGGAAGAATTTCAAGAAGTACACATAGTAAAAACATAATTATTGATAATTGCTGATGTCCCTTGGAATACTAAGGAAGATTTCAAATAAAGTTAGAATAGATGTAAAAAATAGTCTTGATAAGGAGATGTAAACCCTATTTTCTGCCTAGAAAACATAACTTTAATTATATTAGGTTGAAGAGTAGAGCAGCTATTGCTTCTGGCACTGCTTCTCCAATTTTTCTTTTTTTATTTTGTATTTTAGAGAAGGGTCTACAGGGTGTTCAGGGGCTCACAACTAGATTGGACTCATAGTGATCCGCCTGTTTACACCCCCCAAGAGCTGGGATTACAGGCATGGGCCACCACACCCAGTCTCAGTTGCTGTTTCAGCGTACCCTGGGGGTGGGGCCGGCACAGCAGGCCTGAGGATTGAACCCCAGCCCCTCCACCTGCTTGCAGGCACTTTAAATCTTAATTTCTTTTTTCTTTTTATTTATTTGAGAGAGAGAGAGAGAGAGAGAGAGAGAGAGAGAGAGAGAGAGAGAGAGAGAGGGGTGTGTGTGTGTGGCCAACTCAGCCCACCAGGGGGCGGGGCTGGCTGGCATGTGGTGCTGGGGGATTGAACCTCGGTCCCTGATGCTTTGCTAAGCTTGTTCTAAGTAGGT